CAACTTTAAGACTTGTGGACTTCAACTCCCAGAATTCCTCAGCCAGCTTTGCTGGCTGAGGAATTCTGGGAGTTGAAGTCCACAGGTCTTAAAGTTGCCAAGGTTGGAGACCACTGGCTTAGAGGACAAAAGACCCAGATTTTTGCCCTGTGCACGTGCGATCAGCCTCGTCCATCTGGGCGGAGAAACGCGAGACGGCGCCTTCCTGCCGGAGGCGAAAGGGAGGAGTCTCGCAGTAGCCGGATCCCGGTCCTTTTCCCTTTCGGACTGAAGTGATTTCGGCAAGACCTTTGCCAAGCGTGCCTTCGAGCCCCTTTGTGGTTTTTGCTGACATTCAGCTCCAGGATAACAGAACAAACCGTTCTGATTGTTAAAAAATATATATATATTCGGCATTTTTTTTTAAAAGGGGGGGAATGGACGTTTTAATTCGAGTAGGTGGCAGCTGTTTTTCAGAGTTCCTCTCCCTCCCAAGCTGTGCATATTCGACAGTCTCCTTGAGTTAGTTATTTTTCCATATGTCCGTGAGGGTACAATGATATCTTACTTATTTCCAAGGAAAGCATCCAGCAGTGAGATGTCTAAATTTCTTGGCAATTGGGTGATTTAAAAAAAAAAAAGGAAATGTAGAAGCTGAGTCATTCAGTACTGCAACAGAGAAAGGAGAGCTTGTGCCCAATGCAGGAAGTGGGGGAGGGCCAGGAAACATTTCAGACCTGCACCTCTGCAGATTCACGAAGCAGTCTAATCACACTCTAATTTCACGCTTACCTCTACTTACCCAACGGCCTGAAAGAGAGCCCCAGTCCTCAAAGGATGAAAACAACCTTCTGTATTATCCACAACTGTGGAATCTCCAAAGTTTCATCTGAATTTCTCTCCAACCAGTTACAAAATCTGTAGAAAGTTTTTGTTAGTGCATTAAAAATGTGAATGTTAAAATAATTCGTTCATGGACTTAAGAGCCCATCTGAATAGAATATTATTTGTAAGTTTGGCCTTTTCCTGGGAATACTATTTAAAGCAGGGATCTCAAACACAATTTACCTGGGGGCCGCTGGGGGCAGAGTCTGGGTGAGGCTGGGCCACATAATATTATACTTTATATTATACTTTATATTTATATTATACACTAATATTATACTTTCATATCATGGTGGGGGCCACAGGATATCGTCCTGCGGGCCGCAATTGGCCCGCGGGCCGCAATAATGAGACCTCTGATTTAAAGCAAGATTATTTGAATTCAGTGTTGTGGTATCCAAGGAATAAAAAGTTCGTTCAACAGTTCTAATATTCAGGTGTGCATGTTGTACTGTATAAGTTTTTTTTAAATTCCGCCTTTCATTTGGAGATTGTGGCAAGTATTATTCATGCTTGTGTGTCCTTATTCATTCTTCTATATTGCACAACTGTTGCTTTCTCCACCATGGCATTAGTTTGCATTATTGCATAATCAAATTTTTGTGCACTTTAGAAGCAATAGGAAACAAGGAAGCACAAGGTGATTATGAAGATCTGATAAATACTGTTAAAGCCACAATATTTTATTTTATCTTTTGCAAGATTAAATTTTCATATAGGGAAAGCTTAGTCTCGTGCTAAATGAAGATGTTACGTGACCAGAAGGGCCACTATAGTGATTATTTTATTAATGTTAATAAATTATACTCCCCACACACACAAACACGCTTTTTTCTTTACTGGAAGGTCAGTTCAGATTGTGAGAATCCTTTCCATCACAGACTAGGACTAGGTTGGAGAACGCCAGGTGGACGTCCTTTCAAAGAGAGCTGGTGGCAGGAACCAGGGTATGAGGCTACAGAGTGCTTCTGAAAGAGGATATTTTAATTCTCTATCCCTGGGCCCATTCATTTGCTGCATTGAAATACTTTGTCAGTGCTCATTTTACATATAATGGCCAATGATTAATAGACAAATGAGGATATATAAGGGTTCCAAAACTGCTGATTAAATGAGTCAAAATGGATTAACTATGTCACCAATAATTGCTGTAAAGATAAATGATAAATTACAATATTATACTTTCTGGGTTCTTCCAGATGCTAAGTATGAGTTTGACATCTGCTTCACATCTGTGCAGAAGAGGGCCATCCGGACCCTCTGGACTGTGTTGGATATTCTTGACCAAATGTGGTTACCAGTGGTGAGGACCTGGCGTCTCAATGAAAGGCATTATGGTGGTCTAACAGGCCTTAACAAAGCTGAGACAGCTGCTAAACATGGTGAAGCCCAGGTCAAGATATGGAGGCGTTCCTTTGACATCCCTCCACCTCCAATGGAGCCTGATCACCCTTTCTATAGCACCATTAGCAAGGTAAGATGAAGTACTAATCTATTAATCTGATGAAGATTGCTGTTGCTTTGAGGTTATTTTAAAATAATTGTCATGCTGGGATTAGAATATAATTACTGTGCAGTTCATTTGCCTTTCGCTTTGTAGATTTCTGACTCAAACAATACTTCCATTGTAGTTCACTTTTATCTCGTTTGACCTCTACTCATGTAATATTCTCACTGGCCCGCTGTTTTGGCCAGCTATATCTTTCTTTAGGTTATGGCTTTCTGTGGGATATGATTACATTGCTGTGGGTTTTTTTGAGCAAAATTTTAGGATAGAGATTGCTTCCATGCAATTAATCATTGACATTGGTCTTTCATGAATGTTTGTATTCTATGGATGGGAACAGTCAAGGCTGTTCTTAAACTGGTGAAATGTTCCACCTATGCAATATTTGTTAGTGAATTAAGAAATAGCTAGAGCATTGGCCTCACATGCTGTTTTTAACTGTAATAGGTATTCATGTACTATGGTAATATAATTAATGTAAGATACTATTTCAAATATTTAAAGACTAGTTCACCAGAAAGCTACATAGTACCGTTAAATTGTGAATAGGGCTACTGAAGAGGAAACCAATCCAGATAGGTTTAAATATGAAGCCAATAATGAGTGAATGATAATGCAGTTCTTCAGTGGTTGAAGATGGTAAAAAATTAAGGCATTATTTAATGTTATGCAACTTCATTAGACATCTTATAATTATTTACTGCCTAAAATATGGCTGCCAATAATTATTAAGTCACAGTTAATAGATCTAAAATGTCATTGCAGATCTAAAATGTCATTGAGCAGGGATTACAAAAAAAATTACAATAGTCTATACATAAACACTTAGGCGCCTAACATATATGTCAAGCGAGCAGGTAGCTTCAGACACAATTTTTCTAAAGTGTATTTTGAAATGAAGTACCGCATTCAATAACAAGTCTTGAGAAAACACGAATCAATCACTGTTATTAAGTTGCCGGTGCCTTTCCTTCTTCAGGATCGCCGCTATGCTGATCTTACTGAAGATCAGTTACCTACATGTGAGAGTTTGAAAGATACTATTGCCCGGGCACTGCCCTTCTGGAATGAAGAAATTGTTCCTCAGATCAAGGAAGGCAAGCGAGTACTCATTGCAGCCCATGGCAACAGTCTCCGAGGCATTGTGAAACACCTAGAAGGTGAGTATTTTGTTTGTAACTTAGGAACAAAAACTGATTAAACCTGACTCAGCCTAAAAAGTTAGTTGAACCAAAGTTCTCTAGTAATTGGTCCTGAATGGAGTAATCAAGCTTTTTACCTTGTCGTACATTTTCATATATATGTTATTCTTTGCAGGAATGTCTGAGGCAGCAATCATGGAACTCAATCTGCCCACTGGAATACCAATAGTCTATGAGCTGGACAAAAATTTGAAGCCTATCAAGCCAATGCAATTCCTGGGAGATGAGGAGACTGTCCGCAAAGCTATGGAAGCTGTGGCAGCTCAGGGCAAAGTTAAGAAATGAGGGCAGGCAAAGTAATCAGTAGCATAACCCCTTTCCCCTTCCTAGCACATGCCTCAAGGGACAGGGCTGAAGAGCCAGAGATGGTGAAGCTGAGAGCCATGGCTTATCCTTCAACATTCACATTTCTCCAGCAGGATCTGGCTAGATATTTTAGAGGTGTGGATCAGCAGGGTTACTGACAGAAACAAATCCTAAAGCAATGAAATTCAGTGCTACTGAACTGAAGAGACCAAGGTTTTCTCAAGGGAACCTTTGTTGTCGTTATGTGAGAACTCCAGTTAGTCAAGTATTGCTTCATTTGATTTTGCCATTCAGGATGGTTGCAAGGACCATTTTTTAATTAGTTTTTTTTCCCCTTAAATTTTGCATAAGCAGCACACCATTCCACTTAAGCTAGATGAAAAGCCAATTCTTATTTCTTTGCCTTCTGAATGTAGGAAGGAAGGGTGGGACTAGAAAGGACTAGCTCCCACTCTGGAATTTCCACCTGTGGTCCAATAACTTTGTGTAGTGCCAGTAAACCCTGATACTGTGTATCATGTTGCTTTTCTACCCCATAGTCTGTGTGGTTGTCTCTGCCTTCTGGATGGCAGCTTTACACTAGAGCTAATTTCACTGTACAATGGCTGAATTTGCCCTAGTCTCAGTAAAATAAAGGAATTATGTGCAATAGCTGCTGTGTCTGTATTACTTGTAAAAGTGGTATATTAATATAATAAGAAATCTGTAACTAATCCAGTGAAGAACCTGAGTTGCCAATTTTAGGTGAAACAAATCTCCTGTGTGAGATATTCAAGCTAGGAATACAGATGCATGACTATACATACCTGTCAGAAGCCACACTCCCCCAAAACAGGACCAGAATAAATTATGGGGGGAAAATTCATTTGTATGCCTCAAATGCTACTCCAAGGCTATACACAGCACTGACTGAAAAACATCCCAGGTGATGTTAAAAAGGTATGTACAGGAAATACAAGAACATGGATAGGTGGAAGAAAGCATTTTTGATACGGGATTTTATTGAAAAAAGCCATAGTCAACAATATCTGTTTTGTATTCACCCCTGGAAACAATTCCATAGTTTGAACATGAATGCTGAAATGTGCATTATTTGGGACTTTGCATATTTCACTATCATATATACTGTCAAAAGATGCAGTTACATAATTTTATATGCCAGAGACTGACTTGAGTGCCACTGTATAGACTGCCTCAGTAGTTTGACAGTAAAGTCTACTCCCCAAAATAATAAATTTTATGTAAATCTAATGTTTCCATAAGCCAAAATATAGTTTTAACATTTTTTCTATTAGTTCCTAGTTTTATCTCATCTTTCTTTGTGACACTGAGACAACTTGAGATTCAAAAGGGCTTTCAATTAAAGTACATTTGATGGGTATTGATTTAGGCTTACGTCCTGGACAGGCCAATGACTTGTACTTTACAAGGGAAAATCCAGGCAGGCAGCCTTTATTAATTGTTTTCTTGTCCTTTTGCTTTTGTAAAGCAGAGTGTAGCTGCTTCAATTGAAGGCAGAAATCAGAGTAGAAAGTTTTCTGAATTATAAAACAATAAAATTAGGTTACAAAATTAAAACTAAACCGGTCTAATCATGATGTCCTTCACTAAAAAGCTCTGCATTCTTGAAGTTGCTTTCTGTTTTTTTTTTTCTTTCAAGTTCCTCTGGTTCTTCTGGGATTAATCTTTCCTGCTACCAGTCGTATGTTTTGGTGTATGCATCTTTCACTATGTCTGCAGAAATTGAGGCTGAACTCGGGCTACTTTGCGCAGCTCCTTCCCATGTGTACTGGGACACTGCATTTCACACCAGCTGATTGGCACCATCTGTAAACCTGAGATCAAAAAAAGTCAATATTTATATAAACGTATCATCTTGGGGAGAAAAAAAGTCATTTGCTTTTGAAAATTACCCTGCAATTAATTTCTAATGTTGTCACAACTTGCCTATCTTTAAATTCAGTACAGGTAGTCCCTGACTTACAACAGTTAATTTAGTGACTGTTCAAAGTTACAATGGCACTGAAGTGACTTGTGATTATTTTTCACACACATGACCAGCATCCCTGATCACGTGATTTACATTCGGATGCTTGACTCAGATGATGACGATTGCAGCATCCCAGAGTCATGTGATCCCCTTTCGTGCCCTTCGGACAAGCAAAGTCAATGGGGAAACCAGATTCCCTTAAACAACTGTGTTATTAATTTAAGAACTGCAGTGATTCACTTAACAAATGTGGTGAGAACAGTCATAAAATGGAGCAAACTCACTTAAGAAATTTGTCACTTAACCTGGGCTCAATTATGATTGTAAGTTGAGGACTACATGTAATTCCAGTTCAAAACAACTCCCATGATGGATAGCTTTCACCTTGACACTGAAAAACAGCTATTTATGTAGACTGGATATTATTCTAGATTTTCCCATTTAGATACAGTGACATGGCATACCTGATATTTCCTACTAAATCACATCTGCAGAGAGTTGAAACTTTAAAAGGTGCCAGTGTACATTTAAGCTATTGTTTTTCAGTTTATTCAGATGACAATTGTTCTTACCTGCTTCACTATGAGCCACCACTACCCCCAGCTCATTTTCTGCTGTGGTCAGCAAATAATTTGATTGTGCATCCCCTAAAGAGATCTAGTCCCACAGGTTAAGGGAAAATGTCTGAAAATTTCCACAGAAAATCAGAAACATAAATATAACAGAAAAAGGATACAACTTTGGCCAAAACAATATCCCCTGGGCGGAAACTCTTGTAAACCTCTATCTAAAGTAGGAGGAAAGAGAAAGCAGATGTCAATGGACAAATTATCTGGCAAGTAGAGCAATGACGCTTGGATTAAGAAAGGCTTGAAATAATTATGACTTTTTAAAAAAAATTCTGTGGAAAGATACAAGTGGCCCTCACTTAACCACAATAATTGAGACTGGAATTTCCATGACTAAGCAATGTAAAGCACAATGTCACGTGACCACACTCTTTAGCAATGGCAGTCTCTGGTTATTGCCATTAAGCGAATTATTGTGGGTGGTTAAGCCAGGATGTCATGTGATCCAGCTTCCCCATTGACTTTGCTTGGGAGAAACAAGCAGGGATGGTTGCAAATCACGATCAACAGTCCAAAATCCAGGCCATTTGCCAAGTGACCGGATCATGATTATGTAAAAGGGAGGGAGCCTCTGCAACGGATGGAACTTTGAGGAATGTCATAAAGTATCGCTTGTTCAGTGCCTCTGTAAGTTCAGATGGTTGTTGAATGAGTGGTCGTTCACCTGTACTCTTACCCTAGGAATCAAATCACTACTACTCCAAATACACAACTTGCATTATTTTTTTGTTCCTAACAAGTGTTAGCCATCTCCTGAAAACTATATCAATACACGTGGAATAAAATGATTGAACATTTCTGTGTGTTCATATACATTATACATTATTATTTAAAAAATCTGCTAATCTGTCATATTTTCTTCATCTGATATAACCAAATATAAAGCCATCTGACCTTGTCTTTTTCTGTAGCTCGGATGTCTTCTCTGCTATAATGGAAGTGAAGAAGAAATCATAATTTTGCCATTTTTCTTTTCTCTCCTCTTCAACTAATCTTACAGAACAAGGGACTTTATCTCCCCTCCCTGTGCATCCTACTCCCTCCCTTCCCATTTTTTACAGTATTTACATCTCTACTGCATAGAGGCTTTGTAAGATTTTATCTTCTAATATTGTAAACCACCCAGAGATACTCTTGTGGTTAGGCGAGCATCAATATTTAATAAAATAAACATGTATATCGTGTAATTGTATAATTTAGAAAGAAGAGTTAGTTAATTATATGAAAAGGTTATATAGATTCTAAAGCAGAGCTTTAGAATCAACAATATTTCCAATTCTCATTATCACTCAAATATCAATAATGAAAATGAGATGGAGTATTAACATACTGTAGTTGGCTTATTCTAATGCCATCTTCAAAAGATGCCCACAATCAAGTTTTCTTCATACCGTATTGTTCCACGGAATGGGGATTTTAATGGTGTAGAACCAACATACAAAATATGCACCTTGGCAAAACGAGAATTAATACTGCAAACCTAAAGAGGAAGGGAGAAAGCAACTTTTAGCAACAACCTGTTCTCTCTTATAACTTCAGGATTGTAATTGATAATAGCAGTTCCACATAGTGAAATAACCAAGCTAATCTCCAAGCTGGGATATATAATCTTTTTCTCTTTCTGCAATATCTCAGTGGCCCTGCTAAATATTGAATGCAGGGACGAAATAACTAAAAACATATAAAAACAAATACAGATGGCAACATTGGCAATATATTATGATTATAATTGTGATCTAGGCTTCACATACTCATTTTACTGTAGGGAAAATGAACCCATATTTAAGCAATACAGAGAGAGATTAGACAAAAGCCTAATTTGTTTCATTCATCACATTGTTAGCACGTCTAACATGAGCTTCCAAAGATGAATGATCTGCAAGGGGAAAAAAAACCCTACTCTTCACTTATGGATAAATATAGCATTCTATCTATTTGTATTACCTTTTATTTTCTTAACACTAATAGTTGGATTAAAAATAACAATGAAATTATTAGGTAGATCTGCTGAGGCTACCTTGCAGGTCACTGTGGCTCCCACATCAGGCAGTAGCTGAGATTCTACATCTCTCATCACAGAGATTACCGGGAGCTGTAGGGAGGGTGCAAAACCAGCATGATTCAATCATTCACTGAGTATTGAACTACCACCAAGAGATAAATTGAAGTCCAACCCCTTCTGAATTGCCAGTATGTCATCATTCAAGGCATGAAATCCTTATCATCCCTCCCACTGTCATCCACAGCACACATTGCTACATGCGGTCCTTGTTTAATGATGGTTCACAAATTATAATGGTCTTGGAGAGGGTGCATTACAACCCATAAAACACTTTTGGCCATTGTAAAATGTTGCATTCTCCCCCTTCTTCATCATATGATTGCATTTTGGGCACTTGGCAACAGGCTCAAATTTACAACTGGTTGCAGTGTCCTGCAATCATGTGGCCACAATTTACAATGTTATTTTTACTGGTTTCCAGCATCTTTTGCTGTTTCTGGATTCAGACTTAAAACTGCATGATTCATTTAACAGACATGTGATTTGGACTTACAATTACATGATTAGCTTAATGACTGCTGTAAAAATGACTGCTGTACAACTGAAATCCCAGTCACAATTGAGAAGTTAAGAAGTATTTCTATGTAGAAATACTTGATTCTCACCATGCCATTCTCACTTTTCTTCATGAAACAACCAGCCAAAGAGGCAAAGATAGAACCATGGCGTGTGTAGGTACCATTCCCAGGGGTTCCTTCCTCTAAACTGCAGAGTCGCTCTCCTGTGAAATAGAACACAAGCCAAAACATCTTATTTTCTAAATCCTCATGTCTGATTGCTCTGACGAGAAATTATTTCCACTGTGACACATGCGCATGAGTTTGTGTGTAACACAAATAGATACTATAGACAGAACAAATGAGTAAAGAAAAAAAAAAGAACACAATAAACCAACCAGATCAGGCCAAGAGTTAATCTAACACTTTGTTTCTCACCATGGCTAAGCAGAAATCACTGAAGTGTTTTCAAGCAGATGGCATTATATCCAGGGGTGGGATTCAAATTTTTTAACAACCAGTTCTGTGGGCATGGCTTAGTTGGTGGACATGGCTTGGTGGTCATGTTATTGGCTGGGCATGGCCAACTCAATATCACTCACGTCGAGGCACGCATCTCCTCGCCTGGCCTCTCATGACTGTGGGGATGCTGCAACAGTGCGAAAAATGGTCATAAGTCACTTTTTTCAGTGCCATTGTAACTTTGAATGGTCACTCCACACGAGCAAGTACCAGCAAAGGAGGGGGAAAAAACTCCAGAGAAGTTCCTGAGACAGGAAGTCTAGTCCTGCCAAGAATGTAATAAGGGTTAACGGAGAGGCAGTTTCTGTAAGCAACACCAGAATGTTTCCTTCCTGCCTTCCTTACAGGATTAGGACAGTAATTTCTTCTAACAACCGGTTCTCCAAACTGCTCAGAATGTTAACAACTGGTTCTAGAGAATAGGTGCAAACTGGTAGAATCCCACCCCTGATTATATCTACAGACATGTAGTCCTAATCTGGAGGTGACAATGTATCTCAAGACTGGAAGCCTATGATTGATGTCATCCATGAATTTATCTAATCCCCATTAAAACCTCCAAATAAATTATTTTTGACATATCCTATAATTAATTTCACAAAATAATTTTGCACTATGTAGAAAAAAACTTTCTTTTGTCAGTTCTAAACATCTTTCCAACCAGTTTCAGTGGATGGCCCTAATCCTAACATTTTAAGGCACAAAGACACTTTTGTTTTTGTACTTTTTCCATGGCATGCATGATTTTGTACATCTTAATCATGTTCCTACTCAAGTAACCTTTCAAAGTAAAGAATCCAACAAGTTCTAGTTTTTCTATTCATTGGGAAAATGTTTTATCACTTTGCTTATTTTGACAGCCCTTTTCTCCACTTTTTCCATCTCTTTTGTATCATTTTTTCCAAAATGTATCAAACACAACTGTACACTATAAATGCATATCAAAGACTTGTCTATAGGTATTACAATGTGCCAGTTTTGTTTTCATCTGTTTCTTAATGATTCCCTAGTATGAAGTTTATATTTTCACAGCTGCCATACAAAGAGTTAATATCGTCACTGAATTATCCACTATGATTTCAGTGTCGACTGGGATTTCTTTCATCTATATGTACAGTTACGTTTTGCCTAAAATTAATTTAATTGAATCATACTTGATTAGATATTCACCCATTTTAAACAGATTCTTCTAGAGGTTTTCATATCACTTTTGGTTTCAATTATCCTAAAAAATTTAGTATCATCTGTAAACTTGGGCAGCTCCATACTTTAAGATTATTAACAATTAAAGCTTAAAAGACCTGGTCCTCCCATGGATCTTGGAGAATTCACTTCTTACTTGCCTTCACAGCAAAAAAAAAAGGCCAATTTATTTCTAATTTCTGCTTTGATTTTTAAAATTAATTTACAATCCTGTAGGAATAGGTCCTCTTATTCCATGGCTGCTAACTTTATCAAAAGCAGTTGAAGAACTGTAAAGGTTTTCTGAAAATCCAAGTGCACATAATGCTCTGGTTGAAAGCTTTCCCGAAGCATCTATCTAAACCACTGGAGAGGCTGCTAGATTAGATGGTGAGGACCGATAAAATGCATAATACAGAACCGTGAAAGTTGTCCCTTTACTAGAGAGGGTCGAATGACCATTTGTTGGGGAAAGTAGAGGATTCTTCCACTGAATAGAGGGTTGGTCCTCTGGATGATCTATCAGATCCCTTCCAGTTACATTCGTAGATATATTCTATGAACTAAAACCGATTCCGACGCCCGACAAATCCTATGATCAAGGCCATCCGTGTCGTACAAACCAACTCACAGAGCCCCAAATTCAGCCTCTTATCGCTCTGAGACTGAACCGAATGCCAGACATTTCACGCACAAGGCTCTCTGGAGCTGAGCCCAGGAAATTAGCGCTCAACCCAGGAACGGTCCCTTTTAGAGCGGCTCCCCACCCGCCCTCTCCCGGTCACCCACCAGGAACACAGTAGCGCGCAGGAACCATGCCGGGTCGTCACCGAAAGGACTTCGCGCTAGGCCGCCTCTTCCCCGCGGGAGGCTGGAATTATCATTGGCCCATTCCACGCTCACATGACTTCCTCCAAGCACGCGTTCTTCTGAATAGCAGCCCACGACCGAACCTCGAATGTTGCAGCACAGTGATTGTAACTAGGAGGCCGGCGGAAAAGAATAGCCCTGGAAGCGCACTGAATGACGGGAAGTGTAGTTTCATTTAGCTTAGCCAACGTGTAGCCGCGCATGTGCGAATAAGGATAAGGATGGGGGGGGGGAATGATGCCGGGAAGACTGCAATTGTTGAGGAGAGGTCTATAGAGAGGGGTTCATTGAGCCCCAACAATGGCAGCTCCAGGTAAGCGGGAAAGAGTTGGAAGGAAACTGATTTTACATGATGTCTATTGGTAAACGGCCCTTTCCCACGTCTTTGGGTTCCACCGGCTGGCGCCTCCAGAAGTTCCTGCAGTGCTTCTTGCTGAAATCTCTGATCGTCCCCGTGCTCTTGGCGTTGCTGTTGTTTGTTGCTGTGAAACGAAGCTGGGATGAAGTCTCCTTCGCTGGCCGAAGAATTGCCTAGCCGCCTCATTGAAATGCACGCGGGCAAGGATGCTTTGTTTTCTCGCGTCTGTAAAAGGACGATTGATTGGCCGAAGCAGGCGTGCTTCTATTTTTTTTAAGCCTTGGCCTTCTCCAAAGATTCCGATGAATAGATGCCACAATTCTTTTCTTTCTCCTTCGCCATCTGTGATTTTTATTGCCAGAGTCATATGTGTGCCTAAGTAGCTGAGCTTTGCATAGAGGCGGAGTTACAGCCCGAGCTCACCTTGTTCAACTTCCAAGAGTCAGGAAGTATTACAACCTTTAGAAAGCGGTCCATTGGCTCTTCTTCGTGGGTTCCGTTATGTCGTGGGTGTCTTGGTGGAAATTTGGTTGGCAAAAGACAAGTGTGTTAGTAAATATTTGGTATATGCTTACATTATTTTTTTCTGCAGCCTACTCGTGCTTAACGAATTAATGTAAGCATTTTGTCCCGCAAGAATTATCAGGGTCTTCTGATCTTCCCTCTAAATATCTACCCCAAGAAAACTACCGGTAATTGAGATCTATTCTTTGTGAATATTATACAGCGATTATACAACGATCTGACAACATTGCTTTTTAGTGGATAATTTTTTTGGACAACAAGAAGTGTGCTACAATATTACAGCTGCCAAATGAAGTGGATTCAGGTAATTCTTGACCCACCAGGAAATATTTTTGTGTGAGAAACTGATATCCCTGCTTAATCTGTGCAATCATATTGTCTCTTGAACAAAAGGTGGGCACCATTTTAATACTTTGGAGGAGGGCATTGTATTTAAAATCGGTAGTGGAAAAACCAGAGAATTTGAGGCAATAATGGAATGCAAGCAGATAGATTTAGATTTTTCAGGATAGCAGATATTTATTGTTTATAATTTTCAGGTTGATTTTGCAAAGCTTTCCACATATTTGTTTGGTTTCTTCTGGAACTTGGCAGGAAGCCACACTTCCTGCACTTGGTGAATTATCATCAAACTTCAGAATGAGGTTTCTCAATACCAAAGAAAGAATTCCACTCCATGTGCAGAGATAAACTTAAGAATAAATAATATGCTTCTATTGACTATTTGAAATAAGAACTGGGAGAAGAGAGAGAGATTAAGAGAGATCTGTTGGCATAAAACCAGTAACAGTTGCTGCAGTTTTAGACAGAAACATGTAGGTCTAATTTTACATTGGCTAAAATTTAATTTGATCTGCCATAGCATCACCTTACGAGGATGCTTTTGGCTCCCACAGAGGACTTCCCAGAGTCATTCTCACTTAATATTAATTGGCCAAGATCAGTTTTCTCCAGAGCTGATCCAGCTCAAGTTCCTTCTTGTTTTTTGATTAGTAGCTGCTTGATGCTGGAGTTATACAAACAGGTAAAAGTAATATTTTAAACATTTGGCCTTCCTTGGTGGCCATAGACTAGTCTAAGTGGGATGATTGGCTCAAGTGAGGCAGAGATGCCAAGGAAGAGATTAGTTTTGAGAGGGATTAGTGATTATGGAATATTTTGGTATTTAGAAAAGATACAGGTAAAAGCATGAACGAGGAATAAAAGCAATGATTTTTTTAGAAAAATTTAAAGCTACATTACTTGTCCTTAAATATATATATAGTGTTAAATCTATAACCGTTCTATATAGTGTATCCTATTCAAGAGTATTGGACTAAATTCTAGTTATGCTTTAGCAGTTTAAATGATGTTCGTGTTGGCTAGAGATTATGGAGAACTGATGTCCAATATCTCAGGTGCCTAATCCTGGATTACAATTCCAGACCATGCCAGTTTCATCTAATATCCTCACCATTTGATATATTTTTGGCTTCCTCTGAGTTAGTCCTTTTTCTCCCTTTATTATGGTTCTCTGCAATTATGCAGGGGGAAAAGAAACCCAAACATAATCATAAAAGATGTGCTCTTCAGGGAATTGTAGAGCAAGTTCTGAGCACCTTCTGCATTTTGAATACAATATGCATGTGGTCACACAAGGTATCTTGCTGTTCAGCCTAGGAAAGGAAGCAGAAACAAAGTCACAACCTTTATTACTGTGTTGTTATTGGTGTTATGGAAGAGGGCATAGCTCTTCCATTAATGCTGCACTGGAGACATCCAAAGTGAGTGATTTCCCCAGCCACAATGCTAACCATGACTGCAAGGATTCTTCACCTACTTGCAATGGGGCATTACCGAACAAGATGATGATGGAGCACTGCTCTGAGTGTCTGGTGCCAACGTTTTCCTCACCAAGCCCTGTCAAATATTTGACATTTCCTCCTTTCTTCCCAGGTTCTGAGCTGCAGAGATGAGGAGTCGCCGCCAGATGTATTATTCTGCTGTCATGCGTTTCTTCCTGAAGTGTTTGCGGATAGGTCAGCGGCGCCGGTTCTGGCTGACCCAGCAAGTGGAACAACTGTGGCTATATGGGCATCTCTGTTTGCGCTCTCTGTTTTACAACTCTTTTGCTGATAGCGACACAGCTCTTGATGCCCTCTTTGAGCCTATATACTGGCTGGTAGATCATGTCACTCGTTGGTTTGGAGTGGTGAGTACTTAGAAAAACAAAACAAAATTGGGAGCTTAAGGAGAGATATTATTAATAAAGTTATAGCTCCAGTTTTCAAGCTACATACTTACAGTAGCTAGTTCAAAGTGCTTAAGTAAAGCCAGGAGATTTAAAAAAAAGAACTGAAGCTGTGGGAGGATGTGCCATTAGGACTTCATAGAATCTGTTAACTATTATCTCTTTCGGCTTCCCAGAAAACAAGATGAAATAATAGAAAGCTCAAACCTTGCAAGAAATAAATAAAGCAGGAAAGAGCATAAAGGGAATGTATCTGCCACATATCCTTTCTCTTCCAAAGGGCTGACTTGAAATATAGTACCTTGCTAGCTCAAATTCCTTTATCCCTTCAACAGGTATTTGTGGCTCTGGTGATAACACTGACCACTTCTGTGGTGGCCATAGTGTACATTTGCCTCCTTCCAACGATTCTCCAGACCTATTCCATTCCCTGGATCTTCTGGCATATTATCTATGGCCATTGGAACCTTGTCATGATTGTTTTCCATTACTACATGGCTATCACTACTCAGCCTGGCTATCCACCACAGGTAGGACTGAGGCTTTAATACTTATATTTGGACTTCTTTTAGCATTTGATATTTCTTTTAGATTCATAGGCAGGGCTGCTCGGCATGGTTTCCAGCCTTTTTTCTGTCTATCTGGGTTCACACTTACTAAACTATCTTCCAGCCAACCATATTTCAGCTTTATGTGTTATGCAAACCATATGGTTAATTTATGATTCAGTGTGCTATGTAAATCCAGAACTCAGTTCACTATGGATAAATATGTTGTGGAAACCCGACCACTAGGCATTTTACTATGAAATGTCAAGGACCAAAAACAGCTGGAGTTGTTCACATGCTGTGAACAACACCCCCCCCAGAGTATGCCAAGAGCTTCTGATCATTATCTTTGGTAAGAATGAAAAGAATGAAAAGGCAATGTCTTTGCTACTCAACAATACTTACAATTGATTTTAGCCAAAAGTCTGACAAGCAATGCTCCACCATGCTCAAAAGTCTGACAAGCAATGCTCCACCATGCTCAAAA